GTACTTTTCAAGTTAGAGGTGTCAGATCTATTCTGGCTTTTTCAATGGAACATATTTGTCTTCATTCTCAGACTTGGTGTCTTGGGGCAAGATAATTTAAGGGAGACTGTGATTAACATAGGCCAGCTCTCCCTTGTAATATATGAGTGAGCTCAATAAAATGTATTCTAATGCTGTGTTACAATGCAGTGATTTTTATGCCTCACCTTCCATACATTTAAGAGTTGTGAGTGACTTTACATGTTTTGAGCTACTTTCAATTGAGAAGATTATCACCATGTAAATAAGTGACATAATGTGTGTTCCATATTTTCCCAGTTCTGGCTTAGGCTCATTAGACCACCATTGCCAAAGAACACAGGGCACAATTGGCTTGGTATCTGCTTTTTTAGGAAAAAAAAAAAGCTCCATTTCTAACTGTTCTAATTACATTTCCATGCGATTAGGAAACTCATCCCTAGAAAGCAAAGTTGCTTTCTGTGACTGGCAAGCAGAGGGAGAAAATGAAAGGCCGGCTCTTCCTTGGCACTGCTGCCCATCACTAAGAGGCGAGAATGACTGGTGCACTTGGCTGATTCAGGAAAATGCCATCTGGTATAGATTTCCTTTCAACTCATTGGGAGGAATTCGGGATCATGGGCAATCATTGAAAGCTGTTGTCTTGGGGTGGTATTTTATTTAGCTCCTTTCTTTTTAGTTAGCTTCTGGAAACCAGGCTGTCTGCGCTAACATACATCTACTTATTCTACCTGTATTCACACTCCTGACAAATCCCTCTTAAGCTAAGAGTGCACACCCATAAATAATGTGTGGTTTGCATTTATTCTTCTCCAAAGTGCTGTAAACATCAAGGCCTACTTATTGGAGGTGTATGCGTGGTAACAGAGGGTCATTGAGAACTAGGGCCAAATGAATTGAAGTAAGCAGAATGAATGGCGTTGTTGGTCATAACTGAACGCTGGGTCTGAATTGAGTCCACTCAAAGTAGATCACATATGACTTTAATCCACTGCTCTGCCCAGCTTTCTCAGAAGATAAATCTGTCTCCAGTTGTTATTTACATATTATCATTTTACTGTATGTCACTGTCATAGTTTCAGACTTGAGTAAATCCACATTTAAATAGCGATTTGTCTCCTTTTGATGGTAAATATTCTCGTAGGTGGTGGTTAGGATTAAAGGGAATTTGTCGACAGTAGGTAAAAGGGGCTATTTAGGATTAAATGAAATTATACACTCAGCCAAGAGAGCCTTCATTGGGAAGCCCAGTCCAGCAGGTGCCAGTTGTCCCACAAATTCCCCCTTTGAAGGTACAGTGATAACTCCCTGAAAGGAGAAAAAGAAAAGGAGGGGTGGAGGAAATGCATACACAAATGTTCTCAGCTCTCCAGACTCCCTGGGAGGGGGCAAATCCTGCCCCAAACAGCCCTGGAGACGCCACCACTTAAAGGTTAGCAAAGAGTTCTTTTGAGGTGACATTTAAACCTTTAATAGCTCCCAGCCAGTTTGAGCAGGAATAGGTTTCTCTCCCTGAAAGCTAGGAGCCAGCACTGCTCAGTTACCTGTCTAGAGGATGTCAGGGTGTGGAGGAAACCCAAGTGGGTCAATTTGGGAGGAGGGGGGCAGAGCCCACCAGTGTCTGTGAGCCTTGCCCTCCGCCCTAATTGCACCAAAGGTTGAAAAAAGCTTCAGGTTGCACGTTAGGCCCTTGCTGAGATTAGCAATTATAATATCAGTTTCCCCCAAACAGGGCTGACAGAATGGCTGGGAGAGCAGAGGTGACGTAAAGTTTAGTAAGTCTCGGGGAAAGTTTACTGTCTCCTGCTGATTTCTGGCCCACAAATTTGGCCTTTCTACTACCCAGCACTGACCACAAACAGTAGGAATCCTTTTCAATCACTATTAGCAACACTTCATTTCTGTCATATTTGACCCTTGGCAAACTACAACTCAGTGAAGAGCATTCTTTCCAGAAAGGAACCAGACATCACTCAGCTAGAGACGATTTACTGTGGGACATGGAGCTGATTTGCTTTTGTTGAGCCCCTGGAGCTACACAGCCTGTTAAAATGGATTGTCCTTTTGCACAGCGGTGCTGGTGGGAGGGTCATTCCTGAGAGGCAGAGAGAGGGGTGGAGGCCAGCCCTGGTCTTTATCAACTTGTCATCTGGTCCAGTTGCCCTGAGCCAAGATCTTTGGAGTGCAGTGCCTGCCCAAGTAACCTATTTTGCAGCTCGTCTTGAAAGCAAGGTATATGTTAGGTAGTCAAGAACATCTCCTTTCTCCTCCATGTCAGGGCCATAGTGGTGTCTCCCTCCAGTTTTTGCTCATATTTAATTTGCTTGAATATGAAGAAAGAAAATAAAAGCTAACCAAAACACTGAAATCTTGAAAATGGCTTCAACCAACAGAAAGGCACAATTCCCCAGCTTTTCCTTATATATACGACATGAGACAGCATTTGGATTTTTCTTCTATTTTTTTTCCTCTCCCATCAGTTGTCCACCATGGGAATTTCTAAGCAGTGCTAAGAGGACCCTGACTCAACAGTCTTCTCTCCCATCTGGGTATCTTTCATTGTTATTAAAGAAAGTGGGTAAAGGGGAGTTACTATTTAGTGGTACAGAGTTTCTGTTGGGGATGATGAAAAAGTGTTGGGTGTTGATAGTGGTGATGGTTCTAGCGCATTGTGATTGTACTTAATGCCACTGAATTGTATACTTATAAATGGCTAAAAGCATAAATATTATGTACATTCACAACATTAATCTAATGTTAATATTAATAATCAATATTTACTCAGCCCCTATATGGCTGAGATATCTGACTGGTGCTTTCTTTCCTAGCATCTTCTCCTAGGAAGCAGAGGGTCTGCATGGTCACCTGTATAGTAAGGAAGGTTAAGGCAGGTACAAAGAACTAACCTAGGCTTGCTTCAGATGGAACTAGAAACAGAGATGGGACAGCCAGAATTAGAATGCACGTCACTGGGCAGAAACATGGACAACCCACTAAAACATGACCTTCATGGGCGTGGAACACTCAGATAGCTTACACGTTGCAAATTAGGAACAAGATGGGCCTAAGTAAAAATGATGGGAACTGTCTTCTCGCAATAACCCACAGACATTTAAAGAGGCGAGAGATATGGATTTCCAGAAAACCACACATATTTGGGGGAAAATAGGGGTCATTCTCCAGAGGCTTTGATCCGTTAGTTGGCATTTCACAAAAGGCGGCCAGACTGTGTTGATTCGACAACAGAAGTACAAGCTGGGACCAATTAATTTACGCTGCTTCATGTAGGAAAGGCAGCAAAGCCTGAGATGTCCATTGCTAGTCTTAACAAAAAGTATTTGTGCAATGTTAAAATAGTTTATACAATTGATGAAATCAACAAGTGATTTGATCTTTTGCAAGCATCAACACGCCTTGAAAAAGTTTTTTGGAATTGCCCTGGTCAACCCTTGTGACTTGTGTTTTAAGTACTCTTTTTAAGTTCAGGACAGTGTAAAATTTAAAATCCAAACTGTATTTTCTTTTCTTTATAAGAATTTAAGCATTGGGCTGATTTTAGGCCTGAAGCTTTTATCGATTCTAAAGTCAATCGTTCTAGGAGGATTGCTAATTGGTTGCGACTCATTATCTGGAGCTATAACAATGGCTAAAAAGAAGTAGCACCATCTGAGGAGAGCCTTCTATGGTCACTTCAGCCTGGAATTCATTCCCTTTCTCTCAACACTTAACAGCATTTTGATTATTTATTGGCAAATAATCTGCTAAACTCAGGAGAATCTCTGAGGTAGCCTATGGAACATACTAGACACAGAGAATCTGGATTTCCCAAGGCATCAGTGTGCTTTTGGGCCATACCTAGAAGCCATGTACCTCAAATTCTGTGGTTTATAAAGTGCAATAAATCGTCTCTACCTATCTGAGACAGAGGAATGGACTAGATGTGAGGCAGACTTTCAAGGGACAGGACCATATCAGTAGGAGATTTACTTTATTCAGAAACGGTGGTCCCTCATATATATTAGAAAAATTAAATCACTCATTTCTCATATTCCAAATGCTACCGCAAATGAAAGCTGGCCTGGGACTCTCCCTGTCCCAATCTTCACCGAGACCCTAATCTGATAGATATAATGCACAAAGGGGTGGGAGATGGACCCCCAGCCACCGTGCTTATAAAGACTGATAAAAAGAATGATCTCAGAAACTGTTTCAGAACTCTTTGACCACTCAACCAGATGCAGGAGATAAAAGAGATTGCAGAGGAAAGAGGATTTTTTTCAAGAAGAGTAGGGAGGATTTTTTTTTTTTCTTTGAGAGTTTCCAGTGTTGTCATTTCATCTTCCCTTCCTGTGGGTGAGTGGAAGAGGGTGTTTGTTGTCACATAAACCAAGTAGGCAGAGTTTCAGGAAACTACTTAACACTTGAGCTGGGTCCCTGACTAATGCCTGACTCTTGGGATGGTGAATTTGGGTCTTCCTGTAGCCTCAGGCATTGAGAGGGCCCTTTGCGATCCCAGGAATGCCAGCACCTCTCATGGGATCTAGAGAAGGCTGGCTGCCTGCATAGGTGGTGAAAGGTGGTGGGGGAGAGACCGCCCTGCACTTTCTGAGTTGGCAAGACAAGATATGCAAGCGTGTTTTCATTGAATCACATGAGGGAGGTGTGGAAGAGAAGACCAGGGTGGCATTGCATTGGGTTCTGCCCAATACGATCTCCTGCAGCAATGAGACACTCAGTACCCACAAGGTACAGGTGTCCCACAACGGGCAAATAAAGTCCTTTGGGAGGCAGACTTCGTATTAAAAGTAGAGTTGCTACGTTAAGAAACATGTGAAGGTATAAACATCTAATTTAATTATTAATAAATTTATGGATCAGTCTACTTTTACTATGTTTGAGTCCATTTCAAATAATTTGTTTTTCCTGATGTGACAATTATATAATTCCATTAATGTGTTGCAAAATAGCACTAACCTGAAATACAGCAGTTGAGCAATTTTCTTCTCAAGAAGTTTCAGTGATCACCTGGAATACAGTTTCATCCACCATAGTTAAGAGAACTTTAGGAGAAAAAGCTCTAGCCAGGAATCTCTTAATATGACAAATAGCTGCCCATGGGGAAAGAATGAGTTTAACAGTACTCCAGATCCAGAGAGCATGATACTTCTCAGCAAAGTGGCATTTTTCTATCCCTTTACCTCTCCCCACTCTCTGTCACTCCTACCTTCAACCCCCGGGTAGGAGAAAAGCCACAGGTGGAGGGTGGGGGAAGTTGTCTGTGTAAGCTGAGACGGAGTACATAGAAAGACAAATGCTTCCCACACACTCACTGTTGCAGGGCCTCAGCCTTAAGCAGGTACAAGCTAGAGTTGAGAGGCAACTTAAAGGTAAGTCAGGCTTTGGAGTTCTGATGCGATTGGATCATTTAATTACTTTGTGACTTGGTTCTGTGACGTAATGAATTGAAGTGACCCAAGGACTCTTTATTATTAGACAGTGACCAGAATTGTTCCAAGTGGCCCGAGTTTTCATTTAAAGCAGAAAAAGTGAAATAAAGTTGAATAGAAACCGCCACTCCATCTCAACCGATCAGTTACTCTACCAACAGCAGCACCATTAACAAAGATATCCGTATTAATGAGGATGTTAGGGCCTAAGACAGCAAGTCGGGGTCTGACAGAAGAGGGAAAAGAAGACACAAGAATAAAACTGAAAGCACTGACCAAGCCACACATGGCTCTTGAGAATATGTATAAAGTCCTTCGGGAGGCAGACTTGGTATTAAAATTAGAATTGCTACTTTAAGAAATATGTGAAGGTATAAATGTCTAATTTAATTATTAATAAATTTATGGATCAGTATACTTTTACTAAGTTTGAGTCATTTTCAAATAATTTCTGTTTTTCCTGATGTGACAATTATATAATTCCATTAAAGTGTTGCAAAATAGAAGTAACTTGAAATATAGCAGTTTAGCAATTTTACTAGTGCCAATCAGACTATTCAATAGTCAACCTGCCAGATCCAAGTGACAATAAGTACGTAAAGATGATGACTTACATGTGTATCCAGTCGTCCTAACCATTAGACGCTCTGTAAGACAAAGAACAATGTTTTATCCTTCGGCACTTAATAAATATTTGTCAAATAAATGAATGATTAAGTAAATGAATGAATAAAATATGCAGCCAACTATGCATATCATTTTGATTCCCATTCTTTAACAAATATAATTCTACTTGTACCTAAATTGCCAAATAATTGCCTTATTTTACTACCTGGCTAGTAGAACACTAGCTATAGAAACACTCTTACTTGAAACTGATTTTTCGGCCAATTGTCAATTTTGTTATATTACTCCATCTGTATTAGTTAATGCCATTGAAATAAATGCAAGTCACAGAGCCAGATGAAATGAAATGTGGGTAAATTGAGTAGCAATATACCTTACCTAATTATTACACTAAAAGTAAAAAAAAAAAAAAAGTGCTGTAAAAACTGTTTTTATAGCTGTAAAGACTATAGCTAAATATTTTTTACTTTGTAATTTACATTCATCACCTATAACAGAGGTGATAGGAAATGTAAGAAAATAATTCATTTTTCAAGTGACAAAGTCATCCTCCTAGCTCCAGAAAACAAATAGGAGGTCAGTTTTCCTACTCTGTGGACTAACTTGCCTCCCAGTGGGCATGGGAACCAGGGAGCCAGTTGAATCCTATCCAAATAAACAGTGTATCAGAAGACTTAGTGAATAAGTTAGATTTTTCAGAGAGGAATAATGTTGAGATGCTATTTTGCTTTCCCTAGTTGGATCTGCCCTACATGGATAAGCCAGCATCTCTCTTTTTCCAGAACAGGCCTTTCCAGGAACAAAATATTAAAGGGTGAAAACCTGCCAAATATAATTGGTAAGAATCATTTTAGTCTCAGATAACTGATTTTTTTTCCTCTAATCTTCCTCAGTTGTAGCAATATGATTTTGTCAAAAACAACATTGGTTAGATACTCTAAGAATCCTTTTGGGTCCCCATTAGTGACACTTTCTTTCCACCAAGCTTGACCACAGCAAACTGCAACCGTACTCTCAACATTCCTTGAAGGAAGCAACCCAACATTCAACTACCACAGATTTATGGTATGAAAAATGGCATTTCGAAGGACCTTTGAAAAATGTTAAAAATGAACATGGCTTTACTGTTACTTTCCCAGCAGGAATCTAAATTTATAACTACTACTTCTAATCAATTTGGGAACTGCTCATAGAGCTAGAGAAAAAATAAGTTCACATGCTGCATTCTTCAGTTACCATTATATATTACAACTGACTTTCCACATCACATGGAATAGTTGCCACTGTAAATGTGTAATTTTCCACATGCTTTTGTTTTAAATTTTCAAAGGATCCTATTACCATCCTATGGCTAGGAACTAACACATTTGTGTCCAGGGTAGAGAGCTGTTTATCTTCTTCAAAGCAATTTTTGTTGCTATGTGGTGTAAGTGTAGATAGCTTTTTGATTGGTTATTGAAAGCCAAGAAATACGTTTTAAAGCAATTTGTTTCTTAGAACATTTTGTCCACCTCATCACAGTGATATGTCTATGAATGCTCTATATGCAATACTAAGAAAGATAATTTATATTCTACTAGTACCTTCATCCATTGCAACCCTTTATTGCCAAAGTGGGTCAAACATTTGGCACTTGAAATGTTCAGCACTTAAAATTCCAGATAGAATAGTGATAACATGACTTAAACACAGACAGTCTTTTGAAAAAAAAAAATTGAAAGAAAAAAACTTTAAAGTTTCAGCAGCACTTCATAGACATGAAATTGATCCCCAGCCCAAACAACTCTATGCTCCATTATCATAGAGTAAATTTCAGAGCTATTTAGGTAGAACATAAAGTTCAGAGAGTCATGTGACCAAAAACTCCAAGAGCAAGTAAATGCATGAGAGGTCAAAGGGCATGGAGCTGAAAGAAACATCTGGATTCCATCTTTTGAACTTTTAATGGAAACACTGATCACTTGGTACACATCTGGGGGTTTGGACAAGAAAAAAAGGTGGGTTTTTATGTGGGAGCTTGCTGTAGTTTATCATCCTTCCCTTGTGTTGCATATGAATCTATCATGTTAGTTACAATGCTAGGTATAATATTTAGGATATCTTAGAATATTACTGAAATAATGTTTTTGATTATCTCTTCCACAGAGTAAGATTTTGCTTTTCTTAGTTTCTTTACTTCAAGTTTTGCTCTAACAGGAGTATCCCAGAAAAAAAAGTTAGAGAACTCGCTCATCTGTGAAACCTGTACTTTCCCTGGGGAAGCTGTTCTTATCACTCGGCAGGAAGAACCATTTCAAAAATCACCATGAAGTAACCAGGGAAGTGGCCTGTAGCATCCAGCCAAGCTGGTTCACCACCTACACCCCAGATTAACTCTCTAAGACATCTACATATGAAAAAAGGTCTCAGAGAGATCTCAAAGAGCTTTTACAGCAAGTGACCTGGCTTTTACCACATTGTTCCTCGGTGAAAAATTTGTCTCAAGCACAAATAAAAGTAACACAGATCTCTTTGCTGGAGAGTTGCAGGGTTTTACTCCCTATCTATTACAAACTGGGAACCATGAGCAAGTCACTTATATTCTTTAGACCCTAGCTTTCTCATTTGTAACGTGATGGTCCTGGACTTCTTGTTTCAGACTAGTTTGTTTTCAGCAATGATATTTTATATGCATTGATCACTGTCCTGAATCTGGCAATAAAAATAACTTTTAAAATTTCTGAGTGTTTAAAATGTACTTGTCAATTTCTGCAGCACTATCCCATGCCTTATTTCCCTTGATCTTGTGGGCAGATGTGGCAATTATTATTCTTCCCATTTTGAAAGGAGACCACCAAGGCTTACAGAGAGGTGAGGTCCTCATTAGCACCCATCTACTGGCCACAGAAAGGTGATACGTTTCCTTCCAGCACAGCACTCTTTCCAGGATGCAGTGTGACTTTCATTTCCTGTGATTAACTTTATGAAAATGAAATTCCTCAATCAGCAAGGTCCACGCCACAGAAAAACTTATCAACTGATGGATGTTAACCAAGGAAGTGCTCCTAGAATTCTGAGCAAAGGCAATGGGGCAATTGCTATTTTTTTTTAGAAGGAAACAGACAAATACACCAGAGAAATAATCAAGCTGTAATAGGACACCTTTTTAAATGGGAAAAGAGCCTAGTTTTCAGATGTAAAAAACGGCTCACCATTAACCAGTCAAATGTAATGAAGCTATGAGCATCTGGACATGATGTGCCCTTTTAAAAAAAAAATTTAAAGTAAAGACAGAATCTTATACTTACAGGAATTAAAATAAGGGACTGTAAAACATAAGGATTAAGAATTCAGGGTTTGGGATCAGAAATGTAGCTTTGTCATTTACTCACTGTGAAACCATCAAGTTTAAAAAGGCACTAATTGGTATTCTTAATAAGACTTGTGAGGATGTTGCTTTATATCTCAAGAGCAGACAATTATGCAAAAGGAAAATTTTACTATCTGGAATGTTTCATTGGAGATGAAAATTATGATTCATAAATTTAAAACACATCGGATTATGTGATCAACACATTAAATACTACCGAAAGCTGAGTAAGAGAATTGGAAGGTAAGAGGGGGAATTCTTCTCAAACTCCGAGAAAACATTAGTATATTTACATGATGAAATAAAAGATATGTGACTGAGGGCAGATATAAGAACTCCCTAAGGATTCTACAAGAGGTAAAATAGTAAAAGAAGGAAAAGCAATAGACAATGAATTAATAGAAAACTTTCTTGATTTACAAAAAAAAATTAAAAAATTATTTCAACAAGATTCATCAAATATTAGGTAAAATTAATGAAAAGCAATCCCCCAGTTAGCAATCGCTGACCAAAACTGTTGATTTTTGAAGATAAAATATCCCATTACTGTTGCTATCTTCAAAGAAAAGATTATATAGATGATAGACAGATAGATAATGCTTACCCATATATGTGTATATAAACATATGAACTATAATAAACATGTAAATATCACACACATATGTATATAAAATTATCATCAGATTTTCCCTTTGAAATACTAAATGCCAAAAGATAATTGAATTACATCTACTTACAGGAAAGACTATAACCTAGAAATTCTAAATCCAGCCAATCATTTATGTGCAATACTAACAGAAACATGTAAGAAAACAGATATTCCAACCATATATCCAAATGTAAAAACATTACTTAATGATTGGCTTAAACTCACTGGTGAAAGTATAAAGTATCTGGAAAGGAAAATGTGAAAAAAAATAGTAGTGAGTATTTAAGATAAATAATGTTTAAATAAATGTTATTATGGTTATAAGCCAATACAAATGTCAAAATAATTTTTTATAAAGAATACGTGTAATATAAAAAATGAACAACCATTTAGATCTAAGATTATTTAAAAAGAAAACTTATAAATTAGGCAGGAAATTAAAGAATATAAAAACAATTTATTTTTAGATATCTCAAAAGAAAGCTCAATATCGACCTTTCATTTTTGACGGTGAAAACATGGAGCTAAGTCAGACTTTAAATATATAAAATTTAAATTATTATATGTAAATCATTAATAACATAAATAGATTTCAAATCTCTAGAGAAAACTTAAGGGACAAATAAGCAATAGTAAAAGACATTTAAAAAATAGAAGAAGAGAGGATACTAAAATAGCACACAATGAAATAGTAGATGATATTACTTCTACTCTTACTTTTACGCAACTACCATGACTACTACTATTATTGCCATTATCATATAACGGCTAATACCTATTGAGTATCATGTGTGAAGGTCTTACCTAAACTCATTGCACTGCTTATAGATATTGAGAAACTTGCCCACGATCACATAGCAAGTAAGTATTAGAATCAGGATCCAAGACATAGTGTAACCTCAGAGCCTAGTTCTCAATGTAGTAAACGTGGCCAAAACAAATGATAATAAAAGTTTTGAAGTACGTGATGGGTTAAAATAACCAAATGCAAACTAAAAGAATACAGAGGTGGAAACACCAAC